AAAAAAAAAAAAATATTGTGGAATCATTTCTGTGCTTGTGTAAATAACTAGATGATGTTAAACCAAATTTTAATATCTAGAAGTTACTATTCTGAAGGTCAGAAACATTATCACTACAAGTTCAGGCCTTCTTACAGGAAAAAAATAATTTCTCCATTCATTCATATTCACTGCCAGACTTCTCAAGGAAACTAACATACAACATTCTAGACAACACAAGGGACAAGAAAGAATTCTGTTTTTGTTTTTTTATCTGGTAAACCGGCTAAGAGTTTGATGGAGTAGGTTCAAAGTGCATTACTATACATTGGTTTTATATGTAATAGATGTCATACCTGCTTAGGCTGTAATTCTGTAGCATTATGAAGAAATGTTGTTGTAATTTTGTAGCATGTTATTTTTCGTAAGCTGTAAGTCTGCAGTTGCCTCCTGTTTTTTTTAGATGTTGACTGCTACTTGACATATTTATTAGCTAGGAAAGATATATCACTGAAATTTGTGACTCTTGACCCAACATGCTACTAAACATTAGGCTTCAGTAACCGTAATTGAAGTTAAAGATTATCTTTCCAGGATTAGTTTTGTGAAGTCTAAGCTATTTTATTTATTGGAAGAAATGAGCCAATTGGAACTTACAAGCCATGGCCTTTGATCAATTTGCATCATCTATTCATCTCTACATGCTTTTCTGATCCATGACTGAAAAACCATTTGGTTCATGGACGCACCATAGAATTGTGACATTTTGTCAAAAGGCTCGAAAAATAACCCCAAACTTGGCCATGAAATTATGTACTTTGTGCTATGTCCTGATATTTACTTTTAGCAAAGCATTAGATGATCAAACAAATAACATTGAGGAGAGGGATATGGTGGGTTACTGGGTTATCATAGACAAGCAGAGCAGATGACACATGACTCGATCAGAGTCTCGGATCACTGACCTAAATATGCCCCCTAATATCTGGCATAGATAAGAAATGAAAACATTTATATTTTATATTGCTACTGCATAGTGCATCTGCTAATCTTTACTGTGTAAAGAAGCACAAGCAGAGAAAATTTAACTGCATCATCAATCTCATTTATCAATTAGAATCCTACATACAAACCAAGATGCCTAGTGTCTCCGTAGTTGGCTTTGGTCATTGATGATGATACTTCATGAATACGACTACAACGCACGATTTGGAATCTTCAATTATTGGATAAACCGTTTGAAATGAGCAATATTTAGGTGGTCCTGATGAGGCAGTAGAAATAGGTACTTAAAATTTTCAGTGTATTGTTAATTTGTTATATATAAATATATATTACTACACACTTACACAGTACACACAATTATATGATATGATATGATATGATGTTG